CCTTGAGACTTGTTCACGGACAAAATGTCTTGGTAGTGAATGAGTCTCAAAATTTTAGATTAAGTTTGGACATGCAGATAGTTTAAACTCTTATCTAGGAGTTCTTCAACTTGAGTTTGTAGATCGTTTAAACTCATATCAGGGAGTTTTGCATTTGACATGATTTGTAGATAGTTTATACTCATATCAAGGAGTTCTTCATTTGACATAATTTGTAGATAGTTTAAACTCATATCAAGGAGTCTTGATTTGATTTGACAGATAATTTATACTCGTATCAAGGAGTCTTCAATTTTGTAGACATTTTATGCTCGTGTCAAGGAGCCTTCAAATTTGTAGACATTTTATGCTCGTGTCAAGGAGCCTTCAAATTTTACATATAGACCGTTTATTCTCGTGTCAAGAAGATCTTGATATGTAGACATTTTATGCTCGTGTCAAGGAGCCTTCAAGTTTGATATGTAGACCTTTTGTTTTCGTGTCAAGGAGATCTTGATATGAAGACATTTTATGCTCGTGTCAAGGAGCCATATAGATAGTTTAGACTCATATCAAGGAGCATATGTAGATAGTTTAAGCTCATATCAAGGAGCATTATATATGTAGATAGTTTAGGCTCATATCAAGGAGCATTTGAATATTTGATGAAGCTCTTCATGTGAATTGCCCCCATGCTTCATGGCTTCGGAAGACATCATTCTTCATTGCCCCCATGTATATTTTCTTCAAAGAGGTCTTCATGCATCTTCAAAGATCTTCGAACTTGATTTGGAGAGAAGAGATGAGAGGTAGAGAAAGTCCCACCGGGCGTGCCAAATTTGTAACAACAAATTTTATGAAAAAAACTTAAAACTTTATGTACAACTTGAATATATTTCGATCAAACGATATGCGGGTACAATCTCTATTTATCTCCTCTGATTCTTCTCTTCATGGATTTGGGTTTGAGATCTTGAAAGATGGATTTGACGATTGAATCTCCTTCATGCTTGAGATTGAATTTCTCTAACATTAACTTGGGGGTCGAATGACTTATTCCCGTATTAAATGTTAGGTCTTGAATTGATTGAAGAAGACTTCTTGGAGGACTTGATTCTTTGATCTTCTTGAAAGATGAATTTTGACTTGAATAACGTTGACCCGAGGGCTTGATAGCTTTTTCCCGGATCAAACGATATGTTTGTTGAACTTCTCAAC